TCTACAGCCGCCGCCTCCGCCGCCGCCTCCGCCGCTGCCTCCGCCCTCGCCTCCTCCCTCTCCCTTGCCGCCTCCTCCCTTGCCCTCGCCTCTGCCTCCTCCCTTGCGCGCGACGCCGCCTCCGCCTCCTCCGCCGCCCGCGCCTCCCGCGCCGCCGCAACTGCCTCAGCCGCCCGCGCCTCCTCCTCCTGCTCCGCTGCACGCTCAGCCGCCGCCTCCTGCCTCGCCGCCGCCTTCTCTTCCTTCTGCCGCTGCCGCTTCAGCGCCCTGGCCTCGCGGACCTTTCGCTCCGCCAGCTCGTCGCGCAGCCGCCGCGCCGCCCGCAGCGCCTCCGAGCCGTCGGCGGCCTGGGTGGTGTTTGCGTTGATCGCCGCCCTGAGCGCCTCGAGATCGGCGTCGCCTCGCTCGCACGCCTCAACCGCCTCGCGCAGCGCCGCCTCGGCAGTATCGCGCGCCTCCGCCGCCTCCGCTGCCGCCTCGCGTGCGGCCTCCGCAGCCTGTTCGGCTGATTCTGCGACCGCCGTCTCAGCCTGTGCTGCGGTCGACGAGTGCTCCTCGAGGGCACGCAAGCACTCGGCGTGGCCTTGCTCCTTGGCGCACTGAAGCGCCGTCTTGCCGTCAACAGTGCGCGCCGCGTCAGCGCCCGCCCGCAGCAAGCGCCGCACGACGGCGGGGTGGTTGAAGAGGGCGGCGTACATCAGCGCGGTGCCGCCGTCGCTGCTCTGCAGGTTGACGTCAGCGCCGTGCCGAATCAGCAGCTCGACCACCCGCTCGTGGCCGTTGATGGCAGCCATCATCAGCGCGGTGAATCCTTCGCTGTCCTGCAAGTCGACCTCTGCGCCGCGCCGCAGCAGCAAGTCGACCAACGGCTCGTGGCCTTTGGCGGTGGCGCTCATCAGCGCGGTGCCGCCCTTGCTGTTCTGCAAGTTGACCTCCGCGCCGTGCCGCAGCAGCAGCTCGACCACCCGCTCGTGGCCTTGGCCGGCGGCGAACATCAGCGCGGTGTAGCCGTTGCTGTTCAGCAGGTTGACGTCAGCGCCGCGCCGCATCAGCAAGTCGACCACCCGCTCGTGGCCGTAGTTTGCGGCGCTCATCAGCAGCGTGCGGCCGCTCACCTTGCCTCTCTCGTACGTCGCGTTGACCCGCCCGCCACTGTCGAGCCACGCCAGCACCGCCTTCTCCTCGCCTCGCCCAGCCGCTGCCACGACCTCGTCGGAGACTGCCACGCCACCGCTCGGCGCCGCCGCCGCCGGCGACAGATTACTCGGCCGCACCCGCACGCTCTCGCCGCCGCCCTCAAGCGCCACCGCGTACCGCCCGCCCTCGAAGCTCCGCGCCACGCCCCGCTGCCCGTTCAGCTCGGGGCGGGCCGAGAGGCCGCCGAGCACGACTCGCTGGCCGAGCAGCGGCGCGTCCACCGCTGCCGCTGCCGCTGCCGCGCCCGAGGAAGCGCCGCCCGCCCCTGCCCGGCCGTCTGCAGCTGCCGCCTCAGACAAGACCTTGACGCACTCGGCGTGGCCCTTCTCTTTGGCAACCTGCAGCGCCGTCTTGCAGTCAAAGGTAGACGTCGTGTCTGCGCCCGCCCGCAGCAAGCGCCGCACGACGGTGAGGTGGTTGAAGAAGGCGGCGGCTATCAGCGCGGTGCCGCCGAAGCTGTTTTGCAGGTTGACCTCCGCGCCGTGCCGCAGCAGCAGCTCGACCACCCGCTCGTGGCCTTGGCCGGCGGCGCCCATAAGCAGCGTGAGGCCGCTCACCTCGTCTCTCTCGTACGTCGCGTCGGCCCGCCCGCCGCCCTCGAGCCACGCCAGCACCGCCTCCTCCTCGCCTCGCTCAGCCGCTGCGATGACCGCATCGGAGACTGCCACGACACCGCTCGGCGCCCGCCCCGCCGCCACCGCTGGAGATAGCGTCTCCGCGACTCTCGATCCAGCCGAGGAAGCGCCGCCGGAGGAAGCGCCGCCTGCGCCTGCGCCGCCGGCTGCCGTCGCCGCGGGCCGTCCCGCCACGACCGACTCCTTGACGTGCTGCCGGAACGCCTCGATGCACTCGGCGTTGCCCTTCTCCTTGGCCATCTGCAGCGCCGTCTTACCGTGAACACTGCGCGCCGCGGTGTCTGCGCCCGCCTGCAGCAAGCGCCGCACGACGGCGGGGTGGTTGAGGAGGGCGGCGATCATCAGCGCGGTGAAGCCGTTGCTACTCTGCAAGTTGACCTCCGCGCCGTGCCGCAGCAGCAGCTCGACCACCCGCTCGTGGCCGTTGCAGGCGGCGCACATCAGCGCGGCGCTGCCGTTGCTGTTCTGCAGGTCGACCTTCGCCCCGTGCCGTAGCAGCAGCTCGACCACCCGCTCGTGGGCGTTGTTGGCGGCGAGCATCAGCAGCGTGATGCCGCTCACGCCGTCTGTCTCGTACGTCGCGTCGGCCCGCCCGCCGCCCTCGAGCCACGCCAGCACCGCCTCCTCCTCGCCACGCTCAGCTGCTGCGATGACCGCTTCGGGGGCTGCCGCGGCACCGCTCGACGCCCGCGCCGCCGCAGCCGGCGACAGATTACTCGGCCGCACCCGCACGCTCTCGCCGCCGCCCTCGAGCGCCACCGCGTACCGCCCGCCCTCGAAGCTCCCCGCCACGCCCCGCTGCCCGTTCAGCTCGGGGCGGGAAGAGAGGCCGCCGAGCACGACTCGCTGGCCGAGCAGCCGCGCGTCGGCAGGGTCGCTGATGTCGCGAAGCATATATTTGCCGTTTACTGTGGGTTCCCTATGCCTGGGGGGTAGGGGATCGTCTGCGGCGAGAACGCGCGCCATAATGGACGTGTGGCTGTCTGGCGAAAACTCGCTCTGGAGAGCCGCGAGAGGGCGGCGCTCTGCAGTGAGCGGAGCCGCCCGATGAGTGTGTAAAGACGTTCATTTGATCTCATAAAAGACAGGGGTCACGGAGCGCCTCGCACGGAAATGGCATGAGGTGAAGCCCACAGCGACCGCGCTCAACAGCCTCTCTCACCGGCAGATTTCGCCCGCGCGGCAGACCGCACTTTCATCGCGCGTAACACCACGAAACACGGTCTCCACGGGGGAGCGACACGCCAAACATGCTTTCATGCGTCTAGCCCCCCTCTCTCAACTTTTTGCTTCCCAGTCGCTCTCTTCACTCTTACGTACTACCAACTCCTCGCGCCGCTCGCGCAGCAGCGGCCGCACCGCGCCGCAGAGCCGGAACGAGCCCGCGACAAGCAGCCACGTGCCGTGGCGCCTCGCCGCCGCGAGCGCGCCCTCGAGCCCGCTGCCGACGTCGGCCGCCATCTCGACGACGGCGCCGCCTCCTCCGCCGCCGGCAGAGACCGCCTCGCGGAGGGCCTAAAAAGGGAGCCCGGGCCCGGCCATCAAACAAGACACCTTGGAGCGGGCGCGCCGCCTCGCAGAGGAATCGCCGTAGCTGCCGCCGCGTCGCCGCCGGGCCTCGGGACAGCGCCGCCGCCGCCGCCGCCGGCGGCGGTGGGGAGCACGTCGCACACCACGGCGTGCGGCGGCGCGAGCGACGCGAGAGCGGCGCCTAAGGTGAGGTGAGGCGAGGTCAACTTCTCCACACACATGGTGGGGCAAGGGCAAGGGCAGCCCTCGCGCGGCACCTAGGTGCATCCGCTGTGCCGATGAGGGGTCGTCGATAGCGGAGCGTGCGAACGCGGGCACGGCGCCGACGGCCGCGTGGTCCTTGTCATCGAGCATTCCCACGAGCAACACCGGCGGGCGCGCCGCCTCGCCGCCGCCTGCATGGTGAACACACTGCTGGACCTTTCCTGGACCTTTCCTAGACCTTTCCTAGCCTCGCCGCCGCCTGCATGGTGAACACATGGGTTCGGGTACCGCGGGGGTAGGGGATGGGCGTCTGCATGGTGAACACAACCAACTCAGCGCGGGAAGACGGTATTGTGCAGAGTCTTCAGAGCACCGCGTGAACAAGAGGGGGGGCGAATACCAACACAGCTGCTTGAATGCGGTCGAATGCAGCGGAGCACATGCACATGTCCATGTCCTCTCGGGCGCAAGTTGGAAGACATGAATGCGTCTTCCGCTTCTAGGGAGAGCGCCGCCGCGCGCGACGGTGCGGACGAGCTTCGCGGCACTGGCGGCGGTGTGCGCGGCGTCGAGGCGGACGGCCACGCCTGTGAACACCCACAAGAGCTGTGAAGAGACGCGGCCCAGACCGCTTGCGATGTGGCGCGGCGGACGGCCACGCCACACGCGGACTCGAGCGCCTCGTACCTGGTAGGAGAGGGACGAGAGGCAAGGCAAGGTCAGCGTCTCCCCACACACGCGAGGGTGGTGGGGTAAGGGCCGGGCTAGTCCCTCGCGACTCCACGTCTAAGAGGCAGGAGCCGCACGGCATTTCGAGGTCTGAGCGAGTCTGAGCGAGTGCCGACGAGTGTGCGAGGGCCGTGTTCAGATAGAGGGAGGGAGGGGGGCAAGAGGGAGGGGGATTTGGGGATAGACACAGAGAGGTTGGGATGAGAGGGGGATTGGGGACTTAGAAAGCGAAGGGCTGTGGGTGGCCTGAATAAGGCATCGAGTTGGACCGGTGCAAGGACCGCGTTGAACGAGAGAAGTCTCTTGAAGTCTCAGCAAATCTCAGGCGAGCTCGCACCGTGCGGGTAGGCGGCGCCGCGCCATCCGCACCTCCTCCTCCCCCAGCAAGTGGCGGCCGAGAAGCCACCGGCCGGTGCCAGCGGCAGAGGCGGCGGCGGCGGAGGCGGCGGCGGAGGCGGAGGCGGAGGCGGAGGCGGAGGCGGAGGCGGAGGCGGAGGCGGAGGCGGAGGCGGAGGCGGAGGCGGAGGCGGAGGCGGAGGCGGAGGCGGCGTCGGCGGCGGCGGTGGCGCCGCGCCTGCCTAGCTCGTCGAGCGCGAGGCGGGCGAGCTCCACCTGTTAATAGTTGATTTACTGTGCCGAATGGTAATTGACGTGAGAGCGCGACGCGGGCGAGCTCCACGTTGTCGGCGTCTCGGTCGGCCGACGGCGGCAGCTGAGTGACCGAGCCGCCGCGCCGCCGCCGCGCCTCCTCGCGCACCGCGGGCGTGAGGTGGGGAGGCACACACGCAAGCAGCGCGCCTCTCTCCGCCACGATGGCAGCCTTCTCGGCCGCGATCGCCGCGAGGGTGTCGCCGAGCACCTCGGTGCGCTCAAGAAGGAAGGAGTGAGTCATCTGGTGAAATGGCCTCGGGGGTGTCTAATAGCACGCCTCGGTGTGCTCGAGCTCGACCGACGTCAGCAGCGCCACCTCCGCGCCCAGCACATTCGTCGAGTCGCGCCGGCCGCCGAGGCCGCACTCGACCACAGCCCAGCCCACCCGCGCCTCAGCACACGCGAGCAGCGACGCAGCGACAAAGACGTCAAACCAGCTCGCGCCGCCGCCGCCGGAGCCGCGCGCCGCCGCCGCCGCGCGCGCGTCGAGCGCGGCCTCCAGCGCGTCCGCGAGCGGCGCCTCGCCGATCGGCTGCCCATCGATCCGCACGCGCTCTGTTAGGCTCTCGACGTGCGGCGACGAGAGCACGGCGGTCCTCCAGCCGCCCCGCTCGAGCGCGCAGCCCAGCAGCGCGCACGTGCTGCCCTTGCCCTTTGAGCCAGCCACGTGCACGTGGCGGAACCGGCGCTGCGGCTCACCGAGCACGCTGAGCAGATCGGCGCACGGCTGGGCGGTGACGGCGGCCGCCATGCCGGCGCGCGAGCCGCGCTCCCAGTCCGTCAGCGCGTCGAGCCTCCGGAGCACGCGGCCGAGGCGCGACCGCGCCATGCCGATGGAGGCGCGAATTCTTCCTTCGGTATTTCACTGGCACGTAGTGTCCACTGGAACCGAGGCTCGAAGAGGCAGACCGCTGTGCCATCGGCCTGGATGTTGGATCCCGTGCCAGCTGAGAGATTGTGTTGCCAGCTGTGTTCGAGGCGAGCGTGCAACGAATGAATGAAGGCGACGCTGCCTGCCCAGTGGTGGTGAACCTTCTTTTCTAGACGGCTAGGATTGAGAGCAGCCTCGCTCTCAATCCTAGAAGTCGAAGGATTGTGAGCAGCACTCCTCGCAAGCGTAGCCAGCAAAGGAAGCGCCGCAGTTTGCAAATGTCACCGCGCGCTTTGACGCATGCCTTGCAAAGCTCGGTCCTCGTCCCGGTGAGGTGGGCTACGAAAGATTCTTTGGTGAGCTGCCACCAGACATCGCGAAACCTCCCACTCCGACCGAGGAGTCGACGCTGGAGTCCATTTCGTGCGCCAACCCAGATATTTTGAGCAGGGAGCAGAGCTGGCAGCATTTCACGCAGGGAGTCGAGAAGCAGGGCGCCGACCTGGATTCGACAAGCCGGTTTCTCTACGCATGGGGGTGCAAATTTGCGCACCTCTACGCATCGGATGGACCTCTTGCGAAACCGGATACGCAAACAAGCATCACTGAGATTACTTACCTAACCGACGGTTCGTGCGGCTCGACGTGTTCTCTTGCCGCCCTACGACCTATTCTTGACGGCGTGGCCTCCTCCGTGAGTTTCGGAGGACTCGCGAACACGCCGGTCGCCGTCTCAAGCTTCAACGGTGGCATTCGAAACCCACAGTGGCAGGGGAAGGAAACGATCAACTTTATACAATCAGCGGTTGATCTTTCCGTACTGAAGCCAAGCATATCCACGCCGCCACGAGATGCACCCGTTCTGTTGGTGCCTCTCAACACACAACTTACCTTCACTATGACCGCGCAATACCACACCGCGCTTGGCGATAACGCCAAGCCGAGCGAGTTCTACAGAATCCCGGCCAGCCATCACCTCAACGTGTGGGACCTCACTGAGAACAGTGTGTCCCAACAAAATTTCGTCGACAGCGCTGACGCGATGCGGTGGCTCGCCGAGAACCTCTACATCCCCGCGGCCAAGAAGCCGTTCACGACGTATCCCAAGCCAGATCTGGGGGACTACGAGAAGGGAGGAAGTGGCTGTCCAGGGACGGGGGCGTCAGGCGAAAACTCAGATTCGACACGCCAGCTGCTCTTCGGCTCGGTTCCCGGTGACCACAGTCCGCCGCCGTCTCCGCCAGCAGCGCCCTTGGACTGCTGGCCGTACGACAACCCTGAGGAGGAGTGCAGCGCATGAGCGGGACTGCTGGCCGTACGACAACCCTGAGGAGGCCCTGGTATGGGCAGGAGGGCGGAGTGTGAGGCTGACGGCGTGGGGGGCTGGGCGGTTAGTTTGTGACATGCAGTAGCAGTACCCTATGTCCGGGCGAGTGGTGCATATCCCGGATGGGGTGAGGGGCCGCATACGGCCCCAAAGGGGAGGGGAAATCCCGGGCGGGAGTCCATGTGCTAGAGGTAGCCTGTCCTCTCCCTCGTGGCGACTCTGAGTGTGAAGCTAAGTCGGTGTCTCGCGCCTTGGTCTAGCACCTTATGGCTTGTGCTTGTATAGTTCTCATCTATCTGCGCTACGGTACAAACAAAACGGGAATGCCAGATCTCCAGTCTGCGCTAAGCACGTGAGAGAGCTGAGAGGAGTCGCCACGCCCACGGCCCACGCGCAATCGCAGAACAGATTGTGAATGAGCTTGGTTACCTGTGTGTGGCGGGGGCGGGCGACGCGAGTGCACGGAGCTAAACAGAGAGTACGAAAGCGAGGTACTAGTGGAGCGAGACATCGCTCCAACCCCTAGAGAGTGCGAAGAGCTCCGCATCCCAACGGATGTTTTTTTTGGCTCGATAAATTTCTTTCGGCCTACAACTCTGCGGCGTTTTGCTCACTCAAGCCCCGATGGCAGCGCACCTGCTCGAGATCGACGCGTCCGAGGCTTGCCGCTCCGGCCCTCACCTCTGCTGCCGCAGCAGAGCGCCGCACACGCGCCTGGTCTCTGCCCTCCTGAAACGAGAGCCATGCGTCCCTTTTAGCTTAACAAAAAAAAGCTAAAAGGGACGCACGAGGCAAATCTGATGTTGGAGTGTTCCAATAGGCTAAGAATACGGAGCGAGGCCTCTTCCGTTTTGGGACCGAGTGAATAGGAAACGAGAATTGCCCGGTTTGAGACGCTCGCGCGCGAGCGTGACACTGGTCACTGCACTGGCCACTGCGCTGCGTGGGCGGCCGGCGGCTTCGGCGCGCGGGTGGCGAGGAGCTCGAGGCGGGCGTCGAGCGGCTGCTCTCGGCACGCAGCTCGCAGGCAGGCGGCCGTAGGATGACCGTGTGCGCGGGTCGGTGCGCGCCGACTTCGACGCAGTGATGAACATGTCGAGGCTGTAAGAAATTCACATGACACATAAATTCACGGTGGAATAAACTGCAATGTGTAAAAGAGCCGGCACACCGCACACCGGTTTGTACGGCTTTGATTATTGTAAAGGCCGGCACCGGGGCTTCGCCCAGCACCACTCGCAACAGCTCTCGCGCGCCGCCGTCTGTGGCGACGCGCAAAACAAAACATCAACAACGCTGCTCGCAACATGGTATGTGTTGCGCACTCATTCATTCATTCAGAAAACATCCATGATCGGTCTCAATCAATGTCCCACCCCCCTGCGCGCGGGGCGGCCTTCTAGGCCCGCGGGTAGTCTCCCCCCATCCCCAGGGCCTCCAGGGCTCGCACCTCAACCTCTCACACAGGGGTAGTATTTCCTTGATGTCGCCTGCCAGGCGGTGGAGGCAGGCAAGAGGGCACCCAGCGGCCAGCTACACGACGTCCTTGGCGACGCCGCGATGGTTTAACCCTCGGTCAAAGCATGCTACAAGACACAAATTCCTACTCAAACGTTTGATCAAATGCCTCCGCTCGGCGCGTGGGGCATGATCATCGAGATGGAGCCGACTGCACACCTCAGTTACAGTAATCCAAAACAACCTGACGTGGCGGCGGCAAACATCGGCAGGGGGCACAGGCGCCTTGTTGCCGATTTGAAGCTCACGAGCTCGCTTGCGAGCCAGGGCAAGGACACGGCCGGCGACGGAGAGCTCGGCTGGAAGGGGGCCTATGTGCGTTTTGGCAACACGGAGACCGGGATGCTCAAGTTGGTCAAAGGGCGCGGCAAGTGGTCTCCGTCGGGAGCGACGGCAGCGGCGGTGGCGGGGGAGGAGGAGGAGGCCGAGGAGGAGGGGGAGGAGGGGGAGGAGGAGGATGCCCCCCAAGGGAAAGCTCCAGCAGCTGGATGGCGATTACCGCTTTGCGCGGGAGCAGGATTGCGATCTCCACACCGCCGTGGCGTGGCAGACGGTGAACGAGCTAGCGTGCGGGGAGAGCGGCATTGTGCATGGTGCGGAGTGCATTGCCGTTCTTAACGGAGTCGCTTAGGCGGCTCCGGTGGCGAGCCGGTGTGTGTGCCAGTCCGCGCCAGTCCGCGCCCTTGTCGTGCCAGTGTGCTGTGAGAGAGGCTTGTGTTTAAGAATTCTTTTTTCGAAGAATTCTTCTATTGGCAAAGGAAGGCCGGCGCCGCGCAGCTGCGCTCTTGCTTTGCCAGGGCTCTCACCTTGCTGGCACGGTCCGCGTGCACACCGGCCATCATGATGGAGGTCAACCCGGTGGCCGTGTGCGCCGAATCCTGCCAGACAGGTATGTGCGTGGCAGTCTTCTTCACCGCGCTCGTCCTCGTCATCCTCGCCTTCTATGTTCCGATCCTCGGGCAGCTTGAGGAGCTCAGAGTGCCGGGCGCATAGGAGCATCGATAGCACACTGCACCGCGCGTGGCTGGTGACGCATGTGGTCTAGGCTGCGCCAGCGCTCTTTCGTTCTCCACAGGCCGTGCTCCCGTGCATGCGGGCGCTCATCACTGCGCGTGCATGCGGGCACTCATCGCTGCGCGTGTGCGGGCGCAGAGCGCGCGCGTGCGGTGTGGAGGTGCGGGCGTCGTGGAGGGCTACATGTGTGCCATGCTGTATCTTCATATCCTTCGTGTGTGATCCGCATTATGGCTAGTTCCATTTCACTCTGTCTCTGACACGCTAATCTTGAGAAAACGTCTCCAACGGAGCTCCGTGTTGCTTCCAGGCCCTCCCCCGCGCTCCCTGCGACCATGGCCGATGCTCCTAGTATGAGAGGTCATCTGGCTACCGCGAGAGCGACCCAACTCGTCGACATCGTCCGATCACCGATGACACACACACACACACACACACACACACACACACACACACACACACACACACACACACACACACACACACACACACACACACACACACACCGCTCACCCACGCGCACCGGGCCTTGCACTTTGAATGCCGTGGGGCTCCTGTCGTTAGACGTGGAGACGCGAGGGTTGCCCCCCCTTGCCCCACCACCGCACCACCTCGTGTGTGTGTGGAGAAGTTTACCTTACCCTAGTCCCTACCTTACATGGTGCCGCAAAGTCAGCCTTCCGAGGCTATCGAGCCGGCAGTAGCCGTGACATGTGGTTCCACCACCCCTTGTAGGCTTTGCCTCTGACCGCCACCATTCCCAGGCTGCCACACGTGACGAGGTCGAGAACGCTTCTATACGCTCGCCGAGACTTCCTTTCCACCCCATTAGGCAGTCTCACGAGACGCTCGCTAAACTCCCGCGCGTGGCCGAGTGTGTGCTCACATGCTCGCTCGCGTGTGCTCTTGGCAATGGCCCTCCCCCGCGCCCACTCCCTGCCCTCTCCCGCCACGCACTCCGTCAGAGCCCCCTCCCCTCTTGCACAACAGGAATCTTGACAATTAACAAGATGGGGCTTGCCCATCCCGGAGTGGTTCGACCCCACATAAATCCGAGACGGTGACGGGAAGCGTCGAGTGATCTCAGGCCCAGTGAGGCAGTGCACAGGCTAACCCGGATCCTGCTGAACAAGCTCCTCTTGTAGCTCGATCGGTCACACCGCCATCGCCGTCGGGGAGAGGGGGGACGACACTGCTTCGGCAGCGTGCACCTCGATCCTGCACCGTGTTTGTGATGACCCCCCCCAATGAACATACCAGTGAGGGTGGGCGAGACGATCGAGGGGTCCCGTACCATGCGGAATCGACCCTATCCAGTGCTCAAGTGCTCAAGCAATGGGCCGGGTGACCTCTCCTCACGTGACCTTGGCTGCCGGATGTGTTTTTTGTGAAAGCGTGAACACACTCGGCCACAGGATTTTCCTGTGAAGAGAGACGTAAGTAAGATAGATAGATAGGAAGGCGAAACACAGTCCGACCAACGAGCAACGACTGGGACACCAACGCGGTATGGGTGGACGCAAGACGGGCGATGACGGTCACACAGGAGCGACACACAGAACCACAAGACAAGACACTCAGACGTAAAAAGTTTTACGTCGGCGACGTGAAGAAACAGATCTTTTAGTTAAGATCTTTTAGTAAGATCTTTCAAACTCGGTGTCGAACCACCATTTTCACCAGCCCGAGGCTCACTACCCAGTGACAGCGTCGAGGTCGCTCTGAACCTCCTCAAGAGAACGTCTATGTTTCTCCTCTCAATTCTCGCTGCCATCGTACTTCCACGCTCCAACGCCGTCCACCGTGCGCCAACCAGCGCCCAAATGGTGGCAGTCGCTGCGCCCGAGTTCTTGCCGAACTCGACGCCACTGCCGCCCGAGGGCACACCCTTCAACCCGATGCTGCACACGTTGAACCTGCTCGACAACACGATGCACGAACACCATCCGGTCATTCGTCAGGTGCCGTCCCTCATCTTCCCCGTTGAACGCAAATATCTTGTTGAGTGGAATGGGCTGCGGGACGCGAGCTGTGCCACAGTGAGTCGTTTAGCCTTCCCGCGGCTGCACCGGCCTGAGAACGCCGGTGCTGACCGCGATCGACAGACCGATCGCCCTAAGTTCCGCCAGGACTGCCTTCTCGCCCGCCACCGCGGCCTCTTGATCCCTCTCGGCTTCTCGGATCGCATCCCGTCGTTGTCTCACCCTGTCTGCTGCTGGCACGATCTCGTGTCCTTTGTGGTAGAGTCCGTGTCCGCAAAGCCCGCCCCACATGTTCACCCCCGGCTCTCGCCTCTTGCGGCGGCTGTCCCCCCCTCGCCGCCAAACCGCTAAGATTTAAATTCTTTTCGTCTGATCGCCATCAGCAGGAAGTCGAGAACATGCAGCGTGCCCTTTGCCGAGCCGCCCAGCGCTCCCGCTCGCTCTCGAGCTCCCGGCGCCACGCCTCGACGCTGCTGGTCGCCGAGCACGACGGTACCAAGCTCTCCGAGGGCACGCTCGCCGCCATCACCGCGTGCGCGCAGATGAAGCCCATTACGCTTCTCGTCGGCGGCTCTGCGGAGATGGCCGCGACGGCGGCCAAGGCGGATGGCGTGGACGCGGTGCAGTTCGTCGACAACGACGCGCTCAACCACGGCGTGGCGGAGGAGTGGGCCCCGCTGGTGGAGGGAATCGCAAAGACGGGCTTCACGCACGTCGTCGCGGGCGCCTCCTCCTTCAGCAAGGGGCTCTTCCCGCGGGTGTCGGCGCTGCTTGACGTGGCGCAGGTGTCGGACATCATCGGCGTCAAGAGCGAGGACACCTTCGTTCGTCCCATCTACGCCGGCAACGCCCTCGCCACCGTCAAGTCTGAGGATGCCATCAAGGAGCCTTTGCTGCGCCCCGCTGCGCTTACTGCGCCCTGCCAGCCCCGCCCTTCCAGCCCCGCTACGCCTTGCAGCCAGCGAGCCGTACCCGCCGCCGCGCGCGCGTGCGTGCGGCGCCGCCGCTCGGCCGCCGCCGCTTTCGCCGCCCTCCCTCCCCTCACCCCGGGAGGACGCCCTTTCACCCCCCCTTCCCTCACGCCCCTCCCCTCACGCCCCTCTGCGCGTCCGTGCAGGTCGTGACTGTGCGCCCCACGTCCTTCGACAAGGCGGCGGCGGAGGGCGGCTCCGCCGCTGTCTCCGCCGCCGCCGTCGACTTCTCGGCGACCGGCACGACGACGTGGATCAGCGAGGAGGCTGCCGAAGCCTAGAAGCATACCTTGGTACCACGGACTCTGGTCTCCCAACCAGCGCTCGAGAGGACACGTACTCCGCTGTATTCGGCCCCGTGTCCCGCTGTATCCCGCTGCATCGGTTGGATTCGTAGCCCGTGGATTCACACGGTGCGCTGAACGTGCACTGCACGACACCGCATCCCCCCCCCCGCCCCCCCGCCCGACCCTGACGAAATTCACAACGTAGGTTGCCAAGAGCGACCGTCCAGAACTCGCCTCTGCCAAGACGGTCCAGATACGCCGAGATTCGCCGAGATTCGCCGTTGCCGGGCGGAGAGGCGCACCTGCACGCGGTCGGGCTGAGGGAAGACCGCTCCTCCGAACCTTCTCGGAACCCTCTCGGAACCGTCTCGGAACCGTCTCGGAACCCTCTCGGAACCGTCTCGGATCCGTCTCGGAACCGTCTCGGATCCTCCCTGCAGGTGATCTCTGGCGGCCGCGGCCTCAAGACTGGCGACAACTTTGCGATGCTCGACAGCCTCGCGCTCAAGCTGAACGCGGCGGTGGGCGCCTCGCGCGCCGCCGTCGACTCCGGCATGTGTCCGAACGACATGCAAGTCGGGCAGACGGGCAAGGAGAGACGCGCCCGCACACAGCACCCGCCACCCTCACTCACACCCCGCTGCCGGCGCCGCCCGCCCGCCCGCCCGCCCGCCCGCCCGCCCGCCCGCCCGCCCCGCCGCTTGCGGCCGCGGGCCGCTGCAGGCGTGGCTCGATGGCGCCAGCGTGGAGGCCGTGCCGCTGTAGGTTGTCGCGCCCGACTTGTACGTCGCCGTCGGCATCTCTGGCGCGATCTCATCACACGCACCTCTCTCGCTCCCTCTCCCTCCCTCCCTTCCCTCCCTCTCTTCTCTCTCACTTGTACGTCGCCGTCGGCATCTCTGGCGCGCGTTCTGCCATCAGTCCCCTGGGACTCCCCCTCCACCATCAATTGCATCGCGAGACCGCGTCTCCGCGCCATGAATTGCATCGCGAGCCCCCCTCTCCCTGAGATCGCACACGTGCAAGACGCCAGCCCATTCGGAGATTAAGGCCTACGTCGGGAGGAGCGGGGCCGGCGCCGGCGGGATGGGTCAGGGGAAGCTCCAAGCAACCACACCAACCGGCCCGCCCGCCCCGAACCATTTCCCGCTTGATCTTGGCGGCTTGCCGGGACGCGTGTACCACTGACCGACCGCACTGATACGTCCAGGCGCGATCCAGCACCTCGCCGGCATGAAGGACTCAAAGACGATCGTCGCAATCAACAAGGACCCGGAGGCGCCCATCTTCCAGGTGGCCGACTACGGCCTGGTCGACGACCTCTTCAAGGCCGTCCCCGAGCTCGAGTCCAAGCTGCCTTAGCCCGTCCCGTCGTCCCCGTGCCGCACCGGGCCGCAGAGCGCACAGACGGCACGCAGGTTTATATTACACCCCAATCCCCCTCCCCCCAGTCGTCTGTCTCTCGAACGTTGCCCCTTTTGGGTCGGGTCTTTGTGTCGTGCGAGTGAGTGAGAGCGGGGCGGCAGAACAACACGCCAGACGATGCGCGCCACAAGCGCGCGATGCCGCTCACTCAGTCAGTGAGCGGAGAACAGTGAACACTGAATGAACAGTGGTGAGTGCCGTAAATTGTAAATCTAAAAATGGCTTTTTCCACATCATGATTCATCATTCATGTCAACGACAGGACATACTAGACCCCACACGCACACCTGGAGATGTATTAATATCTCGTGAGTCGCGTGACGCGGCGCGCAGAACACAGTCGACACAGCCGCCCAGCCGCGGCCGTCTCGTCCCGTCAGCCGTGAACCCGTGCCGCGTCAGAACGTACGGGCGGGACGAGCTGTGCCCCGGTGGCCCGCCCACCACCGGAGATCGCCTGAGGGCGCCCGTCGGTCACCCGCCGAGATGCCCTCGCTTCGGCATGGCCCACTCGAGTCCCGGCCGCGTGAGGAGGACCGACGCATTCATCCCGCCGAAGCCAAACGAGTTGCACAGCGCCGCGCGCAGCTCGGGCAGCGGCGCGCGGCCCGCCGGGCCCGTCTCGCGCGGCAGGACGTGCTCGAAGGCGGCCGAGGCCGGCTCGGGGGCGGCAAGGTTTGCCGTCGGCGGCACGCGCCCCGCGGTGAGCGCGAGCACCGTGAAGGCCGCCTCGGCCGCGCCCGCCGCTCCGAGCAAGTGGCCGGTTGCCCCCTTTGTCGACGAGACAAGGAGGGGGCCGCAGCCGGGCCCGCCGCGCTGCGCGGCAATCGCGGCGATCGCGATCGCCTCGGCCGCGTCTCCGGTCGGCGTCGATGTCGCGTGTGCGTTGATGTACCCAAGCTGTGGCATGGGGAGATGGATGTGGGGAGAGAGGGGGGGCGTGGTGCCGTTCGCGTACCACACAGCTGCGGCGTGGAGTCGAGACACTGCGAGTGGGGGGCGGCTACCTCGACTGCAGTGCGGCGGCGGCTCGGATGCAGTGGAGCACCGTGGGGGGAGGGGGAGGGGTTCGGGTACCGTGGGGGTAGGGGATGGGTAGCACCTCGAGGGAGAGGGAGAGCACCACGTGGAGTGTGCGGCCGGGTGCAGCCGATGCGTGTGTCTTGTCGCTCGCTGGGATGTAAGGCAGGACCCCCGCATCCAAGCTACCCGCCGCACCTCGGCCGGCGCCACGTTGCCGAGCCGCAACGCCGCCTCCATCGCTCGCCGCGCGCCGTCGCCGTCGTCGGGCGGCGCGGTGATGTGGTGCGCCTAATTCACTCTCAATCCACTCTTCATTCACTCTCAATTCACTCTTGATTAGCGGTGATGTGGTGCGCCTGCAGCGGGAGGTTGTAGAGCCGAGACGGTGAGACGTGCGCCGAGAGTGAGCCGAGAAGAGTCGTAGTCGAGAGGTCGGCGAGATGACAGGGAGAGGTAGCCGAGAGAGGCGTGTTGGGCCTGAAGGGGTCGAGATCCGGTCCAGGCCCGGTCCGGGGAGCCGGTCCGGTGCGGTGATGTGGTGTGCGTCAGAGGAGAGGCCGACAGCTCTGAGCTCGGCGAGCGGCGTGGCGCCTGCGGTCAGCCGGGAGCACGCGCGCGGCGGTCAGGGGCAGGGGGTACGGGGGGCTGGGGGCGAGAGAGGGGAGCAGCACCGGGGGCGAGAGAGGGGAGCAGTGGTCAGTGGCGGGAGTGCTAGAGCTGGAGTTGGTGGGGGAGAGAGGGGGAGAGAGTGCCGCTGTGTGCAGGGGGGCGTGAGAGTAGTACCGCGCCGCCGCGCGTGCCCCTCCTCCTCGAGCACCATCACCGCCGCCCCCTCCCCAATCACGAAGCCCGCGCGCTCGGCGTCAAACGGGCGCGACGCGCCGGGCGCGGCGGCGGCGTCGTTGTAAGACGTGGCGAGGGCGCGCGCGCGCGCAAAGCCGGCGACCGCCAGCGGCTCGATGCACGCCTTGTGTGCAACAGAAGAGCGGCGTTGACTCCGAAGACAAGAGGGTCGGGGCGCCACGCGGCTCGGATGTGCGCCTCCGCTCCGCCCGCCACCACCACGTCCGCCTCGCCCGAGCGGATCATGCCCAGCCCGTCCGCGAGCGCATGCGCTCCCGTCGCGCACGCGGTCGCCTATGCGGCAGCTCTCTGGGCGCCATGGACATGGCACGGACATGTCTCGCACTGTCGCGGGCACGCGGATCGCCGGAGCTGCCGACGGGCCGCGCAGGCCCGCGCGGATGGAGACCTGGCCGGCGAGATGCAGGCGAGATGTGGCCGAGATGTGGCCGAGATGTGGTGGGAGATACCGCCGAGATACAGCCAGGCGGAGAGACCTGGCCGGCGGCCATGTTGACGAGCATGCGTGGGATGAAGAAGGGCGAGACGCGGCGCGCGCCGCGCTCGCGCAGCGCGTCGGACGCCTCCACGATGTCGGAGAGCCCGCCGATGCCCGAGCCGATGGCGACGCCCGTCCGCTCCTGCTCGGCGCGGGTCTCTGGCGACCAGCGCGCCTGCACGAGCGCCTCGTCGGCGGCGGCGAGGGCAAACTGCACAAAGGTGGAGAGCGACGTCTCGTCGCCCGGCGCGGCGAGGCCACAGCCAGCGAGCGAGAAGCCGCCCTCGCCCTCCCGCGGCACTGGCGCCGCGATCTGCGCAGGAAGGCCGTCGAGCGATGGCAGCCGCCGGACCGCGGTCTCGCCGGCGAGCAGCCGACGCCAGCTCTGCTCGACGCCGACGCCAAGCGGCGTGACCAGGCCGACGCCAGTGACTACGACGCGGCGGGATGGCAGCATGGCCGAACAAAGAATTCTTAAGCTGCCGCGTCCGGCTGCGCTGCAGCGACTGTCAAAGAGGGGCGCACGAGAAGAAAGAATTTAAACAAGGCAAGTCTCGCAGAGCAGACAGGCTCGACACAGGTGCGAACTGGCGCGTGCTAGTACTATCACCGGCACACCACCGGAGCCGCCTAAGCGACTCCGTTAAGAACGGCAATGCACTTAGCACCGTGCACAATGCCGCTGTCCCCGCACGCTAGCTCGTTCACCGTCTGCCACGCCACGGCGGTGTGGAGAACGACAGACAAGCGCTGCATCTGCAGCCCGTGCCAGTTCTTGGTGGTCCATGTGACCTCATCGAGGTGCTGAGCGTCGCTAGGGTGCCCACAGGACCCAAAAAAAGAAAGGAAAAAAGAAACGGGGGCAATCCCGATCGCAGCACTTCATGTTGGATAGTCGAGATATTGAGAGTGTGACTAGGAGGGTGGGACGCTGGGGATTCTCAAAGGTATACCCTTGGAATGGCCGGATCCAGCCTTAAAAGTACGAGATCGCGCGCGCTTCGCGCACAGCACCGCCTGTTCTCCGCGGCTGTGTGACGACGCGTGCCGTGTACCAGCAGAGTTGGGCGCGCGCGGCGCGACGGCGCCCGCGAGGGAAGGCGCGGGTGCAGCGGCCGCCGGCGGCCGTGCCGCCCGCCAGCCGGCGCAGCAGCGGCCAGCGCAGCGGCCGCCGGCGCAGCAGCCAGAGCAGCCGGTGCGCGCCTTGCGAGGCGAGTACTGCCGCCCGGCAGCCTTGAGGCGGCCGGGCGGCAGTACTCGTTCGAACTCTGCGAGCCGTGCGCGCGCCGAGGCGCCCGCGGCGCGCGCCCGCCCGGCTGCCAGTAGGAGGCGGCGCAATATGGCCTATAGTACAGCCCTTAGGAGGAGGAAGAGGCTGGCTGGCAGTGCTGTATGCCGCCGAGGGGCAGTTTTGGGGTGCTGTCCCGATCCCAGGGGGCTGCAGAAGGCGTCCGCAACCGGGACAACCCGCCCCCCCAGCCGAGGCCGGTCGAAGCCCACTTGGAAGCAGCCATGAGGAGTCCTCTTGGTGCTCCTGGCGGCCGTTGGAATGGCGAGCGCGTGCCGATGGGGGGGACATAGGTCCCGAGCTGCCCCACACAAAGCCGCCCCCGCTGCCTTCAAGCTCAGGGGTAGGCAGATCTAGTGCCCGAAAAGCGCACAGAGACAGACCGGACCCCAGTCGCCCACGGCCCAGCTCTCGTGCGTCGTGGTCCTTAGTTAGACGTGATTATCCCAGTGCGGCGCACACGCGCGCACCACTGGTGTGCGCACGCATGCCACATAATATTGGAAATCGCGATATCTCAAGAGAACGGCTGAGACCTGAGAGTTGTACGAGTGAACACTAATGTAACTATGCTCTATGGTTAGTTTATACTATCTATGGATCTGGATGCAGGATGGCCGCACACGACATGCGTTTGTGTGTGGCGCCATGGCGTTCACTCGCACAACTCTCAGCCGTTCTTGAGATATTGCGCTTACAAGTTGATTGGGTGTTCACTCGCGTAGACGACATGCTCGTCCTTCTGGAAGCGGGGCTTCTCAGCCCGAGGGCCTGCGGTGACGCTGTGGTCGCTCGCCGCCGCCACGCCGCTCTCGCCGCCGCCGCCGTCCTCCGCGGCGACGGCGCCACCACCCGCGGTGTCGACCGCGGTGTCGACGGGCATCTCGAAAAAAGAAAACCGATGCTCGCTCTCCCGCGGGCGCTCGCCAGAAATCTCTCCCGCTCGCTCGGCTCAGCTCGCCATGCTGGTTCTGCTGAGTGCCTGCTCCGCCGGACCAGCGCGCAGACGCAGCAGCCATAGTGCGCCGGGCCTCGCCAGTCTCCGGCGCACCGGCCGAAGGGGCTCGGCACTGGATGGCTCGGCACTGCGCGGCTCGGCACTGCCTTGTCACTTATCAGACGTCTCCCTCGTGATGCTCACGCTCTCAGTCGGTACGGACAACCGCACGCGCGTCGCTGCAGGCAAGGACAACCGGTCGGCGCTCCTAGACGCCGCACTTGCCGCCTATCCCGCGATACAGACGATACGTGCTGTCAACGGGCACAACCACACCGAGGTCATTGAGGCGCTGCTTGCCTCTGGTCTGTCGTTTCACAACGTGTCGTCGGGCGGGCGTCAGTGGGGCATGCTCGCCTGCTTCCTCTCCCATGTGCGAGCGCTGCTAAGGCAGGTTGAGACGGGCGCAGCCTGGCAGCTGACCATGGAGGACGACCTCGTGCCTCTGCCCTCCTTCCCATCACTAGTCGATCACGCGTGCGGCCTCTACGCCAACGCGTCGCGGCGGCTCAACGGCAGCGGCGTCGAGCTGCTGCAGCTGTCCCCATACACGGACACCGTCTCACCTCACTCGAGGGGGCAAAAGCGCTCCTGCGTCGGCTGCAGCGCGTGGGCCTCGTGAAGAACGTCGACCAGCAGTTTAACACGCCGGCCATCATGGGCGTGCGGCTGCTCAGGCACACGGGCCGCAAGCTCCGGCGTGAGGCGGAAATGGCGTGGACCCTCGCGCGAAAGACCAACCGCGGCGACATCGCTCGCACGGAGCAAATCACGTGGGCTGAGATGGCGATGCTCCGCCTGCTCACGAACTGGGACCGGGCCAGACGCATGCCCTCGTACGGGAACCCGCGTGGCGGCGAGGAGGACACGGACCTGTGCGCAAAGGTGAAGTGCCGGCGCCGCGCGCTCCAGCGCTTCATGCGAGGTTGAGAGGGGGCGGCAGAGGGGTGGAAGCGGTTCGCGTTCATTTCTACACGTAAAACGAAGACGGCACGTGCAAAAGGCGCCTATGGGCGGGCGGAGCGCGGACTCTCACACGCTCCCAGCTCACAGCTCACGTGCACGTATCACGTCTTTTCGTGTAGTGAAGAGATCTCGACACACTCACTACGACTTCTGGCAAGCCGCCAAGCCATGGACATGCGCGAGGAGCCGCCGCAGCCGCTCGGCCTCCTCGTCAGAGGGTGGCGCGTCGGGGGCGAGGGCGTGGATTCGGAGGAGCCCCTCTTGCACGGCTGAGGCGTCCCGCACAGCCGCCACCCTGATGTCGACCTCAGTTATGGGGTCAGTGCGCAGCGCATGGGCACCAACCCCTCCGTCAGGCGAAACCAGCCGTTTCTCCAGCTGTCCTGACTGCTGCATCCGGCTCAGGGCAGCGCCAATGTGCCGCAACCGTTCCGCCGTCTCGGCGCCGGCAAACATGCCTCCCTCTGACTCGACTGGTCTCGCAAGCAGCGACTGTACGCGTGCCTCAATCTGATCCGACAGCAGCTGGGGTAGAGGCGTGGGCGGGCCTCTGTCTTGGGCGTCGAGGGCAGTCGCGCTCCCGCCCTTCGCTTCGCCGCCATGTCCTCTCTCAATCACGAGGTCCAGCTCCAAGTCCAACCGCTCCACCTCGTGAACCGCCTCGCAGAGTGGCTGGTCGCCGCTCTCCTCAGCCCGCTGCAAGATTCGGCGCACAGCACCGATGCCTCCGTTGGAGTCGCACGCGAACAACGCGTCGCGCTGCGCCCTCATCTCGGACTCCGCCTGCGCCAACATGGCGCTGTACTCACCCCCACCCAGCGCAATACCACTCTCGGACACCGACGCGAGCCACTCCTCGAGCGCCCTCCGCCCCTTCTCTGCAGCGTCTTTCTGGCCCTCGATCGCCGCGCGCAGTCCCTCTCGGTCGCCCTGCTGATGTTGACGCACCCGCACCTCCTCATGCAGCTCGAGTTCCTCCACCGCGGCGGCGAGGCAGTGGGCGTCCATCTCGTCCACGTTATCACCGCATCCATCTATGGCGTACTCGCCCGGAATAGATGGCTCAGGGTTCCCAGCGGGCTCGGTCAGAAAGAAGCCGCTGCAGCCCTCGTCGGGCATTGTGTTTTGGGTTGTGCTGGCGGCGACGAACGAACGTCTGTCCGTTCAACTCGTTTGTTTGCGTGAAACGAATTTTGATACTGTGTCGTGCGAGGGAGTTTTCTTGTAAACTTGGAGCACTTGGAGTGCAGTTAGTCACCTCACATCCATACTCGGGCTGTTGCCATCCCAAACTGTCACTCCCCTTTCTCCCGGCCGGGGTGGGGCGCGCGCGGGGGCGGCGGGTGTGCGGCGAGTGTGCGGGATGTCTGTGGGCCCGAGAGCGATATGCCATGTCCGCCTTGCGTTGTTTCATAACACCGAAGGCTAAGCTCAAAAAAATCTCCAAAGTCAGCGTGTTGCGCTCTACTCGAATATGCACAGGGGTGCTGCGCTCGCGCACGACACGCGGTACGACCGCACGCAGGTCTACGACGCGCTCTACTCGCGAGGCTACCAAGTGCAGTCGCTCAACTACTCACAGTCGAGGCTGCTGCTTCCCGCAGTCGGCCAGCTGGTCCTCAACCAGTCAGGCTCCTCAGAGCCACTGCGGACTGCGCTCGACGTCGGGTGCTCTCACGGTTTCGCGGTGTCGAAGCTGTGGGAGATGGGCCTGCATGCATCCGGAGTCGACCTCAGCGGCGTCGCCGTCTCGATTGCCCGCAAGGCGCGGCAGGATGCATTGGAGCGATGCGTGCCTCCGCTGCCGGGACGGCCTGCCTCCTGCTTCCTGCAGGGGAGCGTCGCCGACTTGCCGTGGCCCAGCCGCGCCTTTGACGTGACGATGAGCAGCGACGTGCTCGAGCATGTGCCTCCAGAGTTGGCGCGGGGATCAATAAGAGACTGACCGTGATCACCCGCACCTGAGACCGCCAAGGCAATCAAATTGCTCGCTAATTCCAACCAATAGGTCGACCTCGCCGTCGCGGAGATGAGCCGAGTCACGCGGAGGCTGATGGTGCTGAAGATCTCGGTGCGGAAGGAGGGCAGGAAGCCGGCCCTAGTCTTTGAAGACTCCCCCTCCTCTGCCCGGGGGGGCACCAAGGTCTCAACCCTGTTCCATTTATCTATAGGAAGCCGTCCCTCAAGGCGTTGGAGGAGGAGATCGGGAGACACATCCAACTGCACGAGACCGTCAAGCACACACCCTTCTGGATTGACAAGTTCAGCAGGCACGGCTTTTACCTTCGAAGCCGAATCCGAACGCCGGGCCACCTGTGTTGCGCCTTTGTGCTGCAGGCAAATGACTCTCTCCTGTCATCCTAACAGCTAACACCCGCGGCCTGTGAGTGCACGGCAGTGAAGTTGTACCGTGTGTGCGACCACGTGTTTTTGTCGTGCCAGTGTGCTGCGGACTGTGTGGCGGGTAAAAGTCCCATGTCGCATGTGCAATATGAGAGCTCAAACTGTGAATTCACTGAACATACGAAAGTGATAAGTGTGAAAAAAATCGGGATCGGGGATGGCCAGACAGTCATCAGACAATCACGTGAGCAAATCCGGTGACTTTCCCGTAAAATGTGCCTCCACGACTGGACGAGCACGGACCCAGCGCGAAGGCCTAAGAGCTCGCAGCTCACGAGTACATTGTACGCAATCGAGGAATGGATGTCGGGATGTGCGGAGCAGGAGGCTTCTCGAGGGAGGCCCGTGCGACGGCTCTCAGTCCTCCTCCATGTCCATATCCTCGTCCTCGGACGCCGAGGTTGGCCCCGGGAGTGCCTCAATCCCTGCGCTCGGCGACAAGCCCGCCGCGCTCGAACGCACGGGCTCGTAGTTGGACGACTCGTCGCTTCCGCGCTCCCCGACGCTCTCCTCGTCGCCGATTGCCTCCTCGTCCTCCTCGTCCTCCTCGTCCGCCTCCAAATCGAGGAAGTAGATGCGCCGCTTCTGCGTCAGCACGAGCGAACACATCCCCCATCGGCCGTCTCGCCGCTCCGCGAGGGCGAGCCGGTCGGCGACGGCGCCGGCAAAGTGGCGTGAGCGCTCGCAGTCCAGCTCGACCACGGGGAGGCTGCCTAGAGAGGGAGAGGCCACGGGGGTCGTCCGGAGTTGCCCGGGCTCGGGCGAGACAGAGGCGCCCCGGCGATGCTGCCGCCGCGCGCACACGTGAGCACGAGCCCAAGCAGCGGCGGCGGCGCGCCGCTGCCGCCGGGCAAGCTCGCGATGGGCATGAAGGGCAGCTCCTCGTGCTGCACCACCGTCAGGCGCGAGCCAGCGGCGGCGTCCGAAGCGTGCAGCAGCGCAATCTAAAGGCGGGCGGGCGGAGGGGGGGGGGGGTAGCAGAAGTGAGGCGGACTGGTTGAGGGGGCGGCAGAGGTGAGGCGGAGCTGGGAGGAGGCGGCGGGCCAGTATGGTTGTGCGCGCGGCTGCCTAGCCGAGCCGCAAGCGGGGCTTCGCTGGCTGAGCGGGCGTCAGCTTCGCTGGTTGGGGGAGTGCGTCTACAGAGGGCCACCTTGCCGTCGCGGTAAAAGTGCGCGCGGCAGAGGTGCGCGTGCGGCGTGCGCGCCGCGCACGCCTCCCACGAGGGCGGGCCCTTGTCCTGCAGGAAGGTTCCAGGAACGGTCTAGGAAAGGTCCAGGAAGCACGCCTCCCGCGAGGGAGGGCCACTGTCCTGTAGCGACCAGCGCGCGCGCAACAGCACGAGCTGCACGCCGCCCTCCTCGGCCAGCGCGCCGAGGGCGGCCGAGATGAGCAGCTGCGCGGGCTTGGTGAGGCAGGCGGCGGGAGGAGGGCCAGGCATCGCGGGCTCCGCCGGCTCTGGCGGCGGAGGGGAGGGCTCCGGGTGGCGGAGGTCTATGTGCAGCCCGTCGGCGTCGGTGCTCGACTCAGCGCTGCCGTCGGCGTGCAGCGGCGTGCACGAGTGCAGCTGGAAGCCTGCGGACACGTGCTGCGCCACCGGGTTGAAGCAGTCGGAGAGGGCGGCGGCCAGCTCTTCCTCGAGGGCCGGCAGCCGGCGGATCGGGCCGAGGGTGCAGTGCTCGTCGAGCGGGTCGGTGGGCAGCGCCTCGGCGGCAGCCGCGAGGCCCTCCTCCGTGGAGAAGAGGTCGCCCACCTCGTCGAGCAGCTCGTCGCCGGAGCAGCGCCCCAGGTACTCGCCGACGGTGATGGCGTCCGGCAGAGGCACGTCGTCTGCCGACGGCGGCGCCTCGTCCCTCAGCCGCCGCACCGCGTGGATCAGCCAGCCGAGCAGCGCGACCAGCCCCGAGTCGGTGCGGCGCGCGCACACGAGGAGGAGCTCGGCGGCGGCGCGCAACGCCTCCGCCGCCTCGAGAAGGGCAGACACCTTCTTGGGCTGCAGGCCGAGGGTGCCCGCAAAGTGGTGAGGCCAGCGCGATAGCCCTCTCAGGTTGCCGACCAGGTGTACCACCAGCTCGAGCGCGGGCGCGACCTGCGTCAGCACGAGCTGCGCGATGGCGCCGGCGGCGGCGTTGGCCGCCTTCAGCGCACGCGTCAGCTCGGCCTCGCGGAGCTCGTGCGCCAGCACGTCGCGGACGCGCGCCGACGGGGCGCCGTACGCGAGCAGTGCGAGCAGCTCCTGCTCAAGGAGGAGCGACGGTGACCCGAGGTGACTCGAGAGGACTCGAATGTATGCCACTCCTGCTCAACCGACGGCGGTGGTCACTCCAGGGGTGTGTGGGGGGGGAAGGGGTGACCCGTTCCTGCGGCACTGTCGCCGGCCCATCGGAAGGGTTGAGGTCCGACTCGGTCCGCACCTCCTCCCGCAGCCTCGCCAGCTTTGCGTGGAAGGGGCCAGCCGCCTCGGCCCACGCCTGCCGCGCCATCTCGAGCGCCGCCGACGCGCGCTGGGTGAGGGCTTCACAGCGAAGGAAGGAGAGAGCGAGCGCCTCGATCTCTTGCCGCGCCCGAGAGAGCTGGCCGGTCCGAAAGCCGAGCAGCAGCGTGCCCGCCTCGTGCTGCTGCCGCGTGCCGTCGGGCAGGGAGACGCGGGCGGAACCGCGCGTCGCGACGACCAGAGTGAGCGCGTGCAGCGAGGGTGCGAGCGACGCGCGGAGCAGCGCCGGCGGCTCGTCCCCAAAGTCGAGCGCGGGAAAGTCGGCGAGCGGGAGGAAGCCGAGTGAGAACCTGCCGTGAACGCGCAGCTGCACGCGCGCCGAGTCGTCCGCAGTCACCGAGAGGTCGAACTCGAGCGAGCGGCCCGGCTCGAAGAGCAGCCTGTGCAGCGGCGCGTCGAGGGGCAGCGGCGCCGAGTCGAGCGCGAGCTGCGCGCCGCTGCCCTTGGGCAGGCTTGGCAGCGGCGGGAAGAGGTCCGAGAGGCTGCACGCGTAGGGCGAGTCGAGCGCGCGGCCGGGCTCCGAAGGGCTCAGCCCCCAGGAGACGAGGCGGAGGGCGCAGTGGTGCGTGTTGGACGTGCAGAGCAGCTCGCCGTCCTCGATATTGTACAGCGCGACGGAGCCGTCCGCGTGGCCCACCATCAGCTCCTGCCCGTCGGGCCGCCACGCGAGGCAGTGGATTGGCTGCGCCGCGGGGATGGCAAAGAGCCGCTGCCAACCGGTCCGCACGACCGCGACCTGCGAGTCCGAGGTGGCGATGGCGATGAGGTCCATCGTCGGGCTCCACTCCATCGCGACAACCTCGCCGCTGGTGCTCTTCGGGAAGCCGGAGAGCAGCTCAAACGGCGCCATATTGGAGCCAGCTTGTGGCTTGTTCACTGGCCGCGGCCAGTGCGCGCTGCTGAAAAGGAAAACAAGCCCCCGCCGACCCCGATGCACCTTATTACCCAAACCCCCTACCTGCAAGCCCACCGTCCGAGAGGGGTAGGGGCCAGCCTTGTTGAATTAAACACGAGTTCCACCGTAGCGCGCACAACTCTAAGCGCGCGTGTGTGCGAATGCAGGAATGCAGCGCTCACGCGGTCCCGGGCTCGGTCCTCCCACATTCTCTAAATGATGAGTCTTGCTCTCCCTTATACAATAAGGGGCCTCTGCGAAATAAAAAGCGGAGACCTCAGTGGGAGCGAACTCTGACGGAGAGGGAGGTTCCCCGTGTTTGCTGAAAAGGAAAACAGATGCTTCCCTCGGGCTGTCAGCTTCCCATCTCCTTCCAACCTAGGCGAGGCGGGGGGGCGCGCGGGTGCGGGGTGCAGTGCGGTGGGGTGTGTGAGTGTCATGTGGCTAAGAGCTGGTCTGGTGCAAAGTCTTGCAAAAATCGAGCAAAAGATCCGGATATTTCCAGGAATCCTCGGGGTTTTGCCGATTTGGCTGATTTTGGGACCAACCGCAACCCCAGCCTCAGACTCGGCTCAGAGCCGCGTTTGCTTCTGATGGACACTGGTACTGACCGGCCTCCGTCGGATGGCTCTCCGGCCTCTCCGGCCGCTGCCGCCCATGCTGCTGCCGATCCGGTCCCTCTCACGCTCAGCGATATCCGCACAAGCTACGACAACTTTGAGGTCGCCGGCTTTGGCCAGGTGGCCCACCATGAACATCTAACTGTTGTCTCAAACATCTGGACTTGCGGTGCGATTTGGACGGTCGCGGTCTGCACCCTGTTGTGGAGTTTCACGAGCGCCCATCACATATTTCACAACGAGGCGGACTGGAGGGGAGCATATTACGGCCTCATCCTATTTTTTGGCATAGACCTCTGCGTGCTCGTTATACTTGCCATCTGCATGCATTCGCTTTACCGATTCTTGGGCTTCACCCCAGAGGAAATTGCTAACATTCACAGTTCCCGAGAGGGTTGGACAGCGGCCACGGCCTCATTCTACGTGGAGAAGTACGGGGAAAGGCGAATAAAGATCGCAGATGCGATTAATCGTCGGAGTGGTCATGTTGTAGATGGCATCGTCAAGTGGTCACTCTTTGTGCCTCTCTGGATTCCGACGCAGAGCCAACGAGTCGCCGCATTGGCAATATATGGTCTCCTCAAGGTCCTCGGGATGCTCTTGTCATCCATGCCGAGGGAATCGTAGCAGGAGTGTTATTTCGCGCCTCACGTATCCGCGATGGCCGGTTGGGCCGCCTCAACCTGATGCTTGTTCAGTTTGTAGTCTTCGGATTCTACCCAGCTGTTGGCCTCTTGATTTTTCATTCGAACATCATGCCCACGCCCTTTTTCATGGGATACTGTTGGCAGCCCTTAATTTGGGGGGATACGATGGCTGAAATCATTGGCAGTTTCTTCGGGCGCTTTGAGTTCGAAGTCTACGGTTTCGGTGACATCAACCGCAAGACTGTAGAAGGAGTTGTCTCTTGCTACATTGCATCTTTTTGCGCATGCTTTTCGTACACGACTGTTCACAGCTCAGAGTTTCCCAGTCAAAAGTTCGAGCGGAACATGATGATGGTGCATGGCTTCAGTGCTTTGGTTGCAACGATTGCCGAAACGTTTGCACCACGGGCTACGGACAACGGATTCATGCTCCTGGGTGTTGCCGTTGTCGTGATTTACTTTTACCCATCGTTGCTATGAGGGTCCCCAACGAGACCGTTGGGAAAGTCATCAAAAAACATTCTCCTGTTTGGATTTTTTTGTTCCCGCCCCACCTACAACACCCTGATTTGTGTTTTTAAGCGGACTAGCTATCGCAAGCCCGCGCGCTAGCTATCGCGAGGCCCCCCCACCCGCCCACTATGCATACTACTCCACACCTCCCCCATCGTTTGTTTTAAAGCGAACTCGCGATCGCGAGCCCGCGCGCTCGCTAAAGGAGCGACGTGTGACCTGTCAGAGCTTGATCTCCGATCTCAGCGACGTCGAGTCGCCTTCGGTGGCGACAGCTAGGATGCATCTCCTCCGTCGTTTTTCGGGTGATGGCCCTGAGAAGCTGGCGCCGCACGCAGGCGGACCTTCACCTTGTGTATGCGGCGAACGCTTAAAAAGTGGGTGCTCTACGTCACTTTTTTTTGAGTAGATAGTGCCGAGCTGGCCGCGACAGCATTTTTCGCAGTTTTAGGCGGGTTTTGCACCACCGACTTTTTGCAACTAGTCAAAACTGGTAACTGCACCCCCTTGTCAGTGTTCAGAGACACAACATATACACCCACATACACGCCACCCAACGACGGTCCAAGTGTACAGCAGTTCCCTCAAAAAGATGAAAAGTCCCAAGCAGCGCGCAGGCTGAGAGTGTACAGCCGCTCAATGCGAGATGGTAGACGTGAGGTGCCGCCTCGGGCCCTCGGCCACCTCCAAGGTGCACTTGACGCCGAGCTCCGCCTCGAGCTTCTGCAGCCCAGCACGAAGTGACGGCACGTCGGGCCGCTTATCCCCACAGAAGTGGCACTGAGTGTTGAAGAGGGGTGGCGCGCCGCGCTTGGTGCGCAGCTGCTCGGTCTGCAGGTGGTCGATGTTGAGGCCCGCGGCGGAGAGTGTGTCGGAGAGGCGGTAGAGCAGGCCAGGCCGATCGATGCCGGTGAGCGAGACACGCCCCGTCACTGCCGGGACCACTTTGCTCGAGTCCGAATGCGGTTGGAGGTCGCGAAGGAGCACCTCGACACCCTTTCCGGCGAGGGAGGCGCCGCCCAGCGCCGCACGAACGGCTTTCAGCTGTGCCTCGGAGCACTCGACGTGCATCACGATGCAAAACTCGGCGCCGAGGCACATCATCTTCGAGTGTGAGATCGACGCGTCCAGGCCGTACAGCTCGCGCGCGATCGCTGCGATGACCCCCGGCCGATCAGGCCCCATGGCGGTGACGAGCAGGTGCGACTTGTCGGGCGAGAGGCGAGGCGCGGGCGCGATGGCGCTCGTGGTCATCAAGCCGAGCGTCTGCGCGTCGACGTGACCGAAGACGCCCTCCTCGGCCGGGACCTCGCTCGAGCCGCGCATGGCCGAGAGGATGCACGTCCAGATGAGCGAGGTCGACGCGACCCACGGGATGCGCGCCCACATTGGCATGAAGGCGAAGTTGAGCAGCGTCGATGGGATCCACACCTTCCACAGCGCGACGAGGTCCTCGTTCATGTTGCCGATGTACTGGTTGACGGCACACACCGGGTTGGGCGAGTCCGACGTGACAAAGTCCTTGATCATGTAGAAGACGGGGAAGTACATCAGAGGATGGTGCACTCCCTGGTCGAGAAACACCTGTGCGAAGAGGTCTCGGATGCCGCGAGGGTCTCTGAGCTTGTCCGCGACCGACTTGCCCGCGAATGCCGCCGCATTGGGAAAGATGCGGCTAAAGAGCGGCACGTATATCATATACTGCACTCCGCCGAGGTAGAAGAACCCAAACGCGCCAAAGGCTATGTTTCGCTTCCAGTCGATGATCTCGCGCTTTTCGACAACCTTCTGCACCATCAGATCACAGCCCGACGTCTTCATCAGGCTGTAGCCCAGACCAAAGCGGAACGGGTAAGTCTTAGCCAGACGCAGGATGGCCGACATGGTCGTGAAGCAGAGGAGGATCCAGAGGGGATGGCGTGCTGCCGAGCTGAATAAGATCGGATCGAAGAAAAAGAATTTCATCGCGTCGGACGACAGCGCGCACTGGCACTAACACAGGTACACTAAGAAAAAAATTTAAACAAGCAACTCAAGAAAAAGAATTTTACAACGAAACTCCCTCGCACAACACACCTGCCTCGTGCGCACCTCTATTCTGCTCCGGAGTGACTCGCCACCGCCATCCCTGGGCCCACTGGGCAGTCGTGTGAGGGGCCGCCCCCTAGTTTGCGAGGGGTGGGTGCTAACCTCGCGTGGGTAGGAGGTGCTCTGCGAACTGCCTCGCGCGAGGGGAGTGTGGCATCTCTCGCGAGTCTTGGAATAGTCTTCCCTGACCCCGCCCGCCTGCCCGCCTGCCCTGCCCGCCTGGCTGATAAGATCTTTTCACCTTGACTTGGTGGAGTACAGGCGCGGGGGGCGTGTGGCTGAGACTGAACTGGCTCGCCTGCCAACCTCGAAGGGGCTGCCGTCCACCCGTCGCTGCTCAGGCCGGGGGAGGGGGGGAGACCTCCTGTTCCTCGCGGAACGGGAGTAGGCCCCTCCTTGCCCGGTCAGGAAGCAGGGCGGTGGTCGTGCCATCGTCGCTGCGTACACACCGACACACGCCGCATTCGTCGCCGGCGCGCGACAGGCTCCCGTCGGCCGGACTGCCCTCGACGAGTGGGTGTCGCCAACCAAAGCGACACGCACTCGAGGGTTGTGCCGACGGGACGCGGCTCGAGAGCCACTCTCGCGAAGGCACGGCTGGCAACCATTAACCGTGGCGCGGGGCTCGCGTTCGACAAGACCGGGATCGCTCTACCGGCAAACCTCAAGCTGACATGCGCGCCCCGTCGAGCTGACGGCGGGCGCGCTGAGGTCGCACGCCAAGCCAAGTTATATGCCAATGGCATGCGACTAGAATCGGCTCACGCGCCTCTACTCGCATAAGCTCACCCATAGAATTATCACCACCAGTGAGTGCGAGATAGGGCTAGCGGCTGGCGGCTAGCCTCTGAGGAGAGTGACCAGAGACACCTCACACGACCCCACACACGGTCTAGTCCGGCCTCGCGGTCGGCGGAGATTGCTAGAGGACGAGCAAGCCTGCTCTAGCCTCACGCGTTCGCCCCTGTCGTCTGTTGTGTTGTTGTGCCCTTGTTTGTTCCTTCGGCACCTTGGCTGGGGGAGGCGACAGGGGGGGGGAGCGGCCTTGAGTTATGTGTACGCCAACTCAGGGTGTGTGGCAGCCAGCTGGCTGTGTGTCTTGTGAGCTTGTTTGTGTCTGTGTGTTGCTCGTGCGTGTCGTCATCATCTGTCCCGCGTCCACCCATACCGCGTTGGTGTCCAGTCCGAGCCTGACTGTTGTTCATCTTTCTACATACATACATACAACACTGGGCACGGGACTGGCGCGCACTAAGAAAAAGAACGGCATCTTAGAAGGATTCGAAAAGGAATTTTTGCCGAGTGTCGTGCGAAGCTCAGGCCAGTGCAGGCACGGGAAGTACGGGGCCTGGCTAGACGACTGGTGGCTCGACAGACCTCCTTGGGCAGGCAGGTGTTCCGGTGGGGGGGGGGAGGACTACATTAATTACCTCGTCAACGACATCGCACCGGGACCGACACAGTCGGAGGGGCAGGCGATGATGGCATACGCCTGCTGTGTGAAGAGGCGAGTGGCGTCGGCGGGCCCGCTGTCCGAACACAACTCGGCCTTTGATATCCGGGCAGTGCGGGTGCGGATCGAAGGGGATCGGGCGAGTGAGGAAGCGACGCGACTGATACCCGGGTACTCGTAGACAGCCTACCCGGGTACGACTTAGCGTGGCGCGAAGGGGAGGAGAGGCGAGGCCAGCGGCGAGCCCGGGTCCTGCCCCCCTCCGGCGATGGGCCGCCACCTGTGGCCGCGCGCGGAGCAAGGAGGGCGGGGCAATGTCAGCGGTAGCGGCGTCGGCAGCGGCCGCAGCAGCGGCGCAGCAGCGCGGCGCGACGCGCTCAAGCTGAGCGCACCTCCACTTCTACACGAGGAGGCACTGGAGGCGCTTTGCGCACAGCGTCCTCCGTTTGGCCTGCTCGCCGACTTGAGTACGCTCGAAGGCATCTTGCACGGCCTCGGCCTTCCCTCTGAGGCTGCCACTCGCGGCACCGGCGGCGTGCCGAACGCATCTCACTCGAGACACAGCAGGACAGCCGCTGCAGCAGCTGCTCGGTCAGAGGCGTGCCGGAGACTCGCGGCGCGGTACGCCTATGACTCACCGGTGGTGGTCGGTGGCGGCGGTCGTGCCCGCGGCGGCGCGGCAAGTCGGTGCGCGGTGGTTGGCTCGGGCGGCACTCTCGTCGGCAGCGGGGCGGGCGCCGCCATCGATTCGCACGAGGTCGTGTACCGCTTCAACCTCGCGCCGGCGGGCGAGCGCTGGGCGGGCGATGTCGGCACGCGCACCACCTTCCGCCTCTTCAACGGCCAGTCACGGGCGGGCGCACGGCGCGTCAACGACTCTCGTGGCGCGACCCACCTCTTGTACTGCCCCTTTGACCGCTGGCTCGGTAAGTGTCTCCTCTCGGGCGTGCGCTGGCCGCCAAAGGGTGCGGTGGCCGCCAAAGGCTCTGACCGGCCCCGCCACCCGCGTGGCACGGGCAGCTGGCTGCTTGTGAACCCCGTCTTCTCGCTGCGGACCGCGGAGCAGCAGTGGGCGCACGGTGGCCGGCGAGGCCGGATGGCGAGCACGGGGCTGCTCGGCGTCGCTCTGGCGGCGGCGGCGTGCGACCACGTGACGCTCTTCGGCTTCGGAAACGACTCGGACGCCGGCACCGCGGCGACGTGCGCCCACTACTGGGAGTGCTCGCGCAACCAGAGCCGCTACTTTGGCGGGAAGGCGGGCTACCACGACTGGCACGCGCAGTGGCGCGTCCTCTCTGACTGGGTCGCGTCGGGCAATCTGTCCTACTGGACGCGGCGAGACTAACACAAGCCGCTGCCCGGCTTGATATTGAAATCCTAAAGTTCCGGGAATATTAGAGGCGATGGAGTTTTGTTGTTGGGGCCCTCTGCACTTGCCCAAGTCTGCTAAGGACAGCAGCAAGAGCACGTACATATGCCTCCTCGGAGAAGGAGGCCGCAGAAGAGCGGCCCAGGAGCGCCCCGAGTTGCTTCCACGAGAGATCTACAGTGGGTTGCAAATTCAAAAACAGCCTGCGAGGGCGGCGCTGCGCCTGCGGCTGCGCGCCGCCTACTCCAGCTACCTCGTCCTCGACGTCGATCGTCGTCGTGGCTCGTGCGGGTGTGAGTGTAGAGTGATTCCAAAGCAAACGGCATCCCAAAACATGAATTGGGCGACCAAAAGCGGCGATGGGCACGCACCTGCGCAGCCGCCGGAGAAAAGGAGAAAGAAGACGATTTAACGGACACCGGTGGTCGGACGAAACAGAAACTAGAGCGCAGTCCTGGGGAGCCGGACCAGACGGCATCGACCGCCGAGGGAATGTTGGGAAGAGGCACGAGGAGGGCGGCGACCTCAACCGACTATGGATGGAGGATCCGTCGCCAGACGACGCAGGGCAGACGACGGGGAGGCGGAGCGGACGCGCAGGGCGAGACGAGGGAGGGAGCAGGACGTTGCGGAGATCAGCAGGAGGATGTACGAAGAGATTAAGAGCAGCAGGGACCCGAGGGACCATGTGGAAGACGGCTAGTGCTAGTCCCCCCTCGGTCGGGAGGACGACCCCGGCTAGTCGCCGACCACACCCACAAAGAACCCTGCACAAAGATCGCACGGGCAGGGACCTGTTCCTTTTCACCCATCTCACAGTAGAGGTGTCCGTTTTATTTATTTATTGCGCAGCGCCGGCTGGACGACGACATCCGAGGATGATGGATGTCATGTTGCGCGATGGCGGCATCCATTTCGTCAAGCCACCTTCATCGTGCCCGTCGCCACCCTCGCCGCCGTCTCACCTACGTCGCTGCCGTCGGTCGCCATCGTGGGCCTGGCCTGCCTGCCTCGCTGCCGAGCGAGACGGACGGTGCTGTTGCACTTGGAGCACTTGGAGTGCAGTTGGCAACCCTTATATGGGATCCAGTCTCGGACTATACCAACATGCTTTTGGTGTCAGTTGCCTCAAACCGTTAACACCTACCCCGTCATGCTTGCCCAGTAGGTAGGTAGGTAGTAAGGTGAAGAACAGCCAGGCTCGGACTGGACACCAACGCGGTATGGGTGGACGCTAGACAGATGATGACGACACGCACGAGCGACACACAGACACAAACAAGCTCACAAGACACTCAGCCAGCTGGCTGCCACACACCCTGAGTCGGCGTACACATAACTCAGGGCCACATCCTCCCTGTCGCCCCCCCCAGCACTCCACGGTGCCAAGGGAACACACAAGGGCACGTACGCGAAGCGCGTCGCGAAGCTGCTACAAGCGCCGCACGTCGTCGCCGGCGAACTGATCCGACGCGAGATTGCGGCGCGAACGCCCTTGGGTGTGCAGTTCGAGGCCACAATCGCGGCCGGTTATCTCCTCCCTGATGACACGGCCTTCCGTATGGTCGGTGCGCGGCTGGCGGCGCCGGACGTTGCGGAGGCGGGTGCAGTGCTCGACGGCTACCCGCGCACTGTCGATCAGGCGCGCAGGCTGGACGAGGTGGCTGATGTGGGCCTAGTCGTGAACCTCGCGATGCGCGAGGACGCCCTCGTCGCCAAGCTGCTCGGCCGGTGCGCCTGCAGCAACTGCGGCCGCGGGTACAACTCCGCCACCGTCCACCTCTTGGCCGACTGCGCGCGCGGGCTGCCGACGGTGTCGCTGCGGCCGCTGCTGCCTCCTCGCGGCCGGTGCGAGGAGTGCGGCTGCGTGAGGATGGAGCGCCGCGCTGACGACACGGCCGCAACCATCAGCAACCGGCTGCGCGAGTACCATAAGACGTGCTCGCCAGTCGAGGAGCACTACAGGGAACTCGAGGCGGCAGCACTAGGCGGCGGCGACGGCAGAGGCGGCAGAGGCGGAGGGCCGCCGTTGCGCGTCGTCGACTTCGAGATTACGGCGGGCATCCCAGAGACGCTGCCGAACCTGGCGCGCGCAATGCTAGCCACCGGAGCGGTCAACGTCGGGGATGGAAGCGAGGCGCTTCGCGGCGTGCGATAGCACCAGACGTATGGGATCGACTCTCACGCTCTGCCTGTGAGCGCGCGTGTGCGCGCATCCGGTTTTGCGGTGCGCCCGGCGTGGCGGCGTCAGAGTGCGTCTCAGAGATGGTGGTGCGAATTGATCAAAATCGATCATCAACATGATTCTGTGAGACTAAGGTCTAAGTGACGATTGTACCACACAGCTAGAGACTCTGGAGAGGACAGAGGTTTTTATTTATAGTTTATACGTCAGCAGTACTGATCCGTCGACGGCTTTACACCGGCCTCCGGCTCCGCGGCTGGGGGCGGGCGACGGGACCTGCAGCGGCCACCCCTCCGCCTCCCTTTCGCCTCGCCGCGAGGAGCGTTGCGCACGGCAGCGCGGAAGAGCCCATCGCCGTCGAGGACGGCCCGAGCCCGCTCAGGGCTTGCGCCCGCCGGCCGGTACACCGCTCTGTGGGGCCGCGCCGCCGTGCGCAGCTGAGGAGGAGGAGGGGAGGGGGGGAGGGGGTGAGAGGAAGAAAGGGCTCCGGCTGCGCGGGTCGGTGGAGTGTGTCCCCGCGCGTGTGTGAGCGCCTATCTCCTCCTCACCTCCTCCTCCACCTCCTCCTCCTCCTCTGCTCACTTCCATCTCTGCTCTCCTCCCACCCCTCCCCCTCCCCCTAGCCCCTCCCCCGCGCACCTCCCGCCGCGTCTCCGCCCACCGCGGCTCCTCCCGCGCCCTCGTGCTCCGCCAGAACCGGGGCGGCCCCGCGCTCGAGGCGAGGCAGCAGCGCGAGCAGCCGCTTCTCGAGCGAGGCGTGGAGCAGCTGCGAGCTCGACTCCTCGAGCAGCACCTAAGTAGTCATTCATTCGGAGTCGATTAGGAGCGTAGTAGGCTCGAGGTAGACTCCTCGAGCGGCACCCGCGTCGCGCGCGTCTCGCGCCGCAGCGGAGCCAAGTCGCCGCCCGGCGGGTCCCCGTGCGCACGCAGCAGCCTCAGTTCGCGCATGTTGATGTACGAGGCCGCCGCCTGGCTGTACAGTGACTTGCCCTGGTATCGGAAGCGCTGCGCCGCGTCGTCGCACCCGTACCGCACCAGCCGCAGCGAGGCGCCTGGCCAAGGCAGAAGGGTGTGTTGACCACAGGGCAACGGCGGCGTGAGCAGCCGCAGTGGCCCCGGCGAGGCTTTCCTCCAGCAGAGGCAGAGAGAGGCACCGCCTCGAGCAGGCGGAGGGTGGGCACGTGGCGCAGGCAGAACCAGCCGCTGTCGTCCTGCGGCTCGATGTGCCACGTCGCATCGCTCGGCTTCGCGTGCGACACGCCCACCTCGATCCCAATCCCCGCCTGCGGCTGCTCCGCCTCCTGCCAATACAGCTGACCCACCCACGCTCGAATGTTGACAAACGTGCCGCTCGCGGGGGTGGCGGCGGAGTTGGCCGCGCAGCGGTCATACCGCTCCGCGATAAAGAAGCACAGCAGGCCGAACCACAGCACGAGGGCGCCAAAGACGATGCACTCTACCGCGAGCCGCCGGCAGGAGAAGAGGTCGCGGCGAGACAGCTTCGCGCCCGTGCCGCCGAGCCCGCTCAGCCCGCCCGGCACACTCCAGCGCTGGTCAATGTTGCCGCGCTTCATGCTACCGCTGTGTTAGGCGGCCTTGACTACAACCGCCTCTCGTTGCCGGTCTCGCCAAACGCGCCGCCGCCCGCCTGGTCGGTATTCGAAAAAAAATCAATCCCCGTGCAAGTGCTCCGTCCTTCCAAACCCTGCTCGTGCAGGTAGGGACACTGTCCTCCCCCCGTCCCTTGTTTTGATTTGTGTGTTTTCTTTCTTTCCTTTTTGTATTGTGTTAACAGAAAGAAAGAAAGAAAACAGACAAAGCCAGACGAGGGATGGGGCAGGAGGACAGGGTCCCCACCTGCACGAGCAGGATTTTGGAAGGACGATCAGGGGGACAGGTGGGGCTCTCCTGCTCCTGACAAGGGACACGACAGGCTCGCAGCGCTATTGTTAACAACGATGGCGCTCTCGGCAAAAACCAATCTTTTCTTCGGACACATGCCGCTTTTTTGCGCAGCAACACCTTATCCTTAAACTTTTAGGCCCTCCAAATTCGGGCGGGTCGGTGCGTAGCGACGACCCCGGCTAGTCGCCGACCACACCCACAAAGAACCCTGCACAAAGATCGCAAGGGCGGGGGCCTGTTCCTTTTTACCCATCTCACAGTAGAGAGGTGTCCGTTTTTATTTATTAAATTTTAGCGGACGGAGTGGGCCCGAGTTTGAAAAGGGCGACGCTTGCGTCCTAGCCTCCAACAACGCCTCCCCGGCGCAGAGGGGCCCCCGGAGGGATGCTCAACCGCTCCACGCCACGCCGCTTGCGGCGGTCCCAGCTCCGCTGAGGGCCGCGAAATTTACCCGCAATTGAGGGACCCATCAAGCCGCCGCGCACACGCCCCAAGCCGAGTCGCTGCTGCCTTCGATGCCCTCCCAGTCCGAGCTTTTCGCCTCCGAGTGGCATTACAGCAACGGACCCGACTCGTTCGGTCCCGCCACCCTCTCCACGATGCGTGACCTCTTTGCCACCGGACAAATTGACGCCGAGGCCTTTGTGTGGAACTCCACCATGAAGGAAGGCGCGGACTGGCTGCACCTCGGCGACCCAGCGAATAAATCGCTGCTCGCGCTGCTAAAGGGCGAGGCGAACGAGGCTCGCGAACGCGACACGCCGATCCACGGCGGCGACAGCGATGTCTGCGCCGGATGTGGTCAGAGGGTGTGCCACACGCCTCGCCCGACGCTCCGCTTCGCCCACGGGGTATCGTCACGCCATATCGCTGCATGCACAGGTGGGTGGAGGCGACGGGCGCGAGGCGTTTGGCGCGCTCGGCAAGCTGTGGCACGTCGGGTGCTTCAAGTGCGCTGGGTGCGAGCGAGCCATCTCGGCTGACTCGTTCATCCCGCACGAAGGCAAGGCGTACCACCCGCAGTGCCACCTCGAGGCCTTTGGGACCCGCTGCGCCGGCTGCCAGCGCCCGATTGACGGGCCGTGCCTGGTGGTCGAGGGGAAGAAGTACCACGCCGCGTGCTTCACCTGTGCCGAGTGCGGCTGCTCGCTAAAGGGCGGATACGCCATCGCGCCCATCAGCGGCAAGCCTTTTTGCGCCGCTCACATCAAGGAGGCGAAGAAGCGCGAAGCCGGGCGCGCGGCGCCGGCCTTTGAACTGGCGGTGGAGGACGCGGTCGCCAAGGAGATGGCTGCCGCTCGGATCGGCGGCGCTAGCGGCGGCGGCGACGCGCCCACCAAGTACGGAGGGCTCGACCGCGGCGACCGCGACCGGCCGACGATTGACTATAAAACGGGGGAAGAGCTGTGGATCGAGACGGGGACGAACCGCAAGTACCGGCTCGCAGCCGACGGCGGCAAGGAGTACATCGGCGTGGCGGAGAAGCCTCGGCTCGGCGGGGCCAGGACGTGGAACCAGGCAGCGCCTGGGGCGTGATCGCCATTTCTGCGGGCGGCCAGTGGCGGGGCTGGGGTTGCGCGCGCCTCCCCGTCCTCAAGAGTATGTGTATAGATAGTGGTGGACGGCGGCGCGGGTGCGCTGGGCTCTGGGCGCGGTGCGTGCGTGCTGCGTACGTGCGTAGAGCGGACGACGACCAGTGGTACTGACAGAGTGTGTGGAGAGAATCAGTGAGACAACGCATGTGCATTATATTTTCTTCCCACGTGCCTATTCGGAGTAAAGGAAGCCAAAGGCGAGCACGCGCACGCACGAGGTTCGGCCGACGAGCAGCTTGTGGCTGGAGCCGAGATGCTCGCCCGTCGCGGCGTCGAGTCTACGAGCGAGCGGCGAGGAGGGGGGGGGGGCTGGAGAGTGGTGCGTGACGGGAGAGGAGCAGGTGGGCAGGAGGCGATGAACGAGCATAGACGGTTGCACTCACGTGTTTGAGGTGATGAAGCTTCCATTCCACGAGTCGATGAACCCGCCAGGCTGCGCGAGATAGTCGATATTTTCGTTCCAAGGCACCGGGGAGAGTTTGCCCTCGCCCAGCCCTGTAGCCGGCATTGTGTCCGTGGAAGTCGTTGGCCTCCTGCGGTGTTGTGTCCGTCGGGCGCTGTACAAGCAACGAGGGCTCAGCCACTCGGCTGGCGAGCTGCCCCCCCCCCCCCCCCCTCGCTTTTGCAAAATCCGCCGCTCCTACAGTGCCGCGCCGCCTTACACACACACACGAACAGAACGTCGTTCTGCTTCGAGGGAGTTAGTTTGCGTTGAGGAGCGACCCGAGCAGCCGTGTGCCACCCCGTAACAGCCTTGTTAGCCATGCCCATGGGAAGATCGGCTCGCAAGGTGGGGTGCTAGCTAGTATGAGACCGACCCGGGTCGCAGTTCTCTTGCGCTGGCTGTCCGCAGATAGACAGATATCAGATTCTTGCGAAGGTGGGGACACGAGTCTGTCCTGGTCCCACCAGGAGGCAGCCCTATACACACGAGCTCATACAGGCCCCAACAAACGCCCATTCCTGTGAGTCAGTGGACGGCTCTATCGTCTCCTAACCTCGCATCTACGACAGTATACGACAGAGTACGACTGCGAGGAGACTATGCTCCCCTCTCCAGCAGGCAGACCGTACTCACTGCTTTTCCCCTCTCCCTCCCTGGCCCTCTCTCCCTCACGCAGCGCGGCCAAAACCGCCTCCGACGCGATTGTGCGGCGTAGCGTTCACGTCTCTGCTCGCGAGGAGCTCAGCCTCCCCGGCCCTGCGCTTGCACAATGCGGAGCGTGCTCCCCGGCGCGCACCCTGGCGGGCAAATCACCTGCATCGCACCCCCGCCCGGCAGATTCACCGCAAACGCCATGCCGGGAACGACGCCCGCGGGCACCACCACCTGCAGGGCCTATTGAAAGCAATACGTGTGAACAGACGCAGTCGGCACCTCTCCATCAGCGGCGGCGGGCGGCGCCGGCTGGGACGGCTGCAACTGCTGCTGCTGCTGCAACTGCTGCTGCTGCTGCAACTGCTGCTGCTGCTGCACCGCTGCGGCTGCTGCTGCTGCTGCGGCTGCCTGCTGCGGCTGCTGCTGCTGCTGCTGCTGCTGCTGCTGCCGCTGCTGCTGCTGCTGCTGCTGCTGCCGCTGCTGCTGCCGCTGCTGCTGCTGCCGCAACTGCTGCTGCCGCAACTGCTGCTGCTGCAACTGCTGCTGCTGCTGCACCGCTGCGGCTGCTGCTGCTGCTGCGGCTGCCTGCTGCGGCTGCTGCTGCTGCTGCTGCTGCTGCTGCTGCCGCTGCTGCTGCTGCTGCTGCTGCTGCCGCTGCTGCTGCCGCTGCTGCTGCTGCTGCTGCTGCTGCTGCTGCTGCTGCTGCTGCTGCTGCTGCCGCTGCAACTGCGCCTGATACTGCTGCGCGGCCGCCTGATGCCACGTCGCCGGGAGGAAGGTGTTGAACCCGACGACGAGCTCGTGGTGGCCGTGGAAGAGCTGCAGCACGTGGGCGATCAAGCCCGGCGTGTCACGCCCGTGCCGCGCCAGCATATCTTTGAACTGCAGGCGGAGGGGGGGGGGGGGTAAAGGGAAGGGTGGGTGTTAAGAGGTTGAGAGAGTGTGCGATCCTGCTCCGCAACGTCCGGCCCGAGCTCCTGC